ACCTGACAGTTGTGCAGAAAACCCTCATTGACACGCTCCATAAGGAGGGAAAGCCTCAAAAGGTAATTGCAAAAGAAGTTGGATGTTCCCAAAGTGCTGTATCAAAGCACATTAATAGAAAGTTATATGGAAGGGAAAAGTGTGGAAGAAAAAGGTGCACAAACAGCAGGGATGACCGCAGCCTGGAGAGGATTGTCAGGAAAAGGCCATTCAAAAGTGTTGGGGACTTTCACAAGGAGTGGACTGAGGCTGGAGTCAGCACATCAAGAGCCACCACACACAGATGGATCCTGGACATGGGCTTCAAATGTCATATTCCTCTTGTCAAGCCGCTCCGGAACAACAAACATCAGAAGGGTCTTACCCGGGCTAAAGAAAAACAGAACTGGTCTGTTGCTCAGTGGTCCAAAGTCCTCTTTTCTGGTGAGAGCAACTTTTGCATCTCATTTGGAAACCAAGGACCCAGAGTCTGGAGGAAGAATGGAGAGGCACACACTGCAAGATGCTTGAAATCCAGTGTGAAGTTTCCACAGTCTGTGTTGATTTGGAGAGCCATGTCATCTGCTGGTGCTGGTCCACTGTGCTTCATTAAGTCCAGGGTCAACACAGCCATCTACCAGGAGATTTTGGAGCACTTCATGATTCCTTCTGCAGACGAGCTTTATGGGGATGCTGACTTCATTTTCCAGCAAGATTTGGCACCTGCCCACATTGCCAAAAGCACCAAAACCTGGTTCAATGCCCGTGGGATTACTGTGCTTGATTGGCCAGCAAACTTGCCTGACCTGAATCCCATAGAGAATCTATGGGGCATTGCCAAGAGAAAGATGAGAGACATGAGACCAAACAATGCAGAAGAGCTGAAGGCCACTATTGAAGCATCCTGGTCTACCATAACACCTCAGCAGTGCCACAGGCTGATAGCTTCCATGCCATGGCGCACTGAGGCAGTAATTGCTGCAAAAGGGGCCCAAACCAAGTACTGAGTACATATGCATGCTTATACTTTTCAGAGGTCCAATATTGTTCTATGTACAATCCTTGTTTTATTGATTTCATGTAATATTCTAATTTATTGAGATTGTGGATTTGGGGTTTTCATGAGCTGTAAGCCATAATCATCTCAATTATGACAAATCACCATTTGAACTATCTTGCTTTCCATGTAATGAGTTAATCTCATATATTAGTTTCACCTTTTAAGTTGCATTACTGAAATAAATGAACTTTTGTACAATATTCTAATTTTTTGAGTTTCACTTGTATATGACAGTGCTTTTCCATTGTCTTCTTAGTGAGGTTTTTTTTTCTTCCAAATTCCCAGCCAAATGGGAGCATGCATTGAAACTTACTACTTTTATCAAAACAAGAGAGCATTGCAACTATCCTAGGCTGCCGTCATAAATCTATTCATTTTGACTGTTCCCTTTGTTCCGTAGTCCTAAAACTCAGATTTATTTATTTTTATTTATATCCGAGGATTATTTTTTTACAAAAAAAGTCAAGGGGCAAACATATCCAACATACCTTCCTCCTTTTATTTTCCCAACAACCGTAGCCCTGTGAAGTGAGTTGGGGTCAGAGAAAGGAAGTGGCTAAAGTCACCCAACCAGTTTTCATGTCAAAGGTGGGAGTAGAATTCACCATCTCCCAATTTCTAGCCGGGGGCCTTACCCACTAGAGCAGACTGACTCAGATGACCAGGTGTTTATTAAAGTAGATTACTGCATCAGTTACCCTCTCCCACCAGAGCGTTCATCTGAGAATTTGAAAACACTTTTATTTTTACCATAGAAGTGAAGTGGCCCCAAGTATCCTTCCTTATCATTCTGCCAATTGCTATATTCTTCCTGTAGTATTTGAACCTGAATGTTGGATTGATGGATGAATGGGCATGAGATTCTGGTCTGGGAACAGTGGAAATGAGGCTGTAAGAATCCTACATATAGTTTAAGCTTACAATTTTGACGTAGATTTTGGTTCAAAATGGTAGGAAATAAATTTGGGTGATATGAATTGCGTTTTGATCTCATGATTTGATGTATAGAACTTTGAACATTATTGCCAGTTTTAAAACTTGATACAACCTAGGACACTGGGCTCTCAACATTTTTACAAACCTTTTCTTCTCTCTTTTTGATTTCATACCATCTAATGCCAGATGAGCCTTGGACAAAGAGTAAAACTCACTTGTACACCCGACATGGCATATGGAACAACAGGTCATCCTGGAGTTATCCCACCAAATGCTACTTTGATTTTTGATGTGGAGCTTCTCAGGATAGAATGAAATTGGGACTAATAATTTTTAAAAAATCTGTTCATCAGTGCTCTTTCCCCATTCTTTTTAATGGAAGAAATCTCACTGAAATTTATATCTTCACTCAAGTTGTCATGCCAATAATGCTTATGAAGTTGTTTTCCCTAGTTCCTTTCCCTCTCTTTTTTTTAAAAAAAACTGATTATTGGTATTTGTTCAGTTAATTGCTTCTTTGCTATGGAATGGAAGTTGTACATTTTATTTTGCACGTGAAACTTCAAAATTGTGATTAGAATTATATATATAAGTGAAGCTATATACAGATTTTACTTATTGGACAACCACTGCCTTATAATCCACTAAAGGAACACCGGTGCTCAGAAAACAAGTGTACATCATGTACACACGTAGGCATTAGCCAAACCAAATTACCTGCGCTGCCACTTTTTTCTCAAGCTGTTCCACTTGCAGCTGTTTTAATTAACACATCATGTGAAAACTTTCCAGAAAAATAAAAGTATTGATACTCTGTTGCCTTTCTCTTGTTTTAAACTACTGTGAAGCCAATACAAGGATTTATTTTGTTGTTGAATGAATCAATCTTACCAACCAAAATCATGCAGTCCATAAATCCAGATACAAAGTAGCTTAGATTTGAATTACACAAATTCCCTATCAATATACCTCAAGGTCTACATATCAAAGGTCACAGAAATTTCCAAATCATCTGAGGGTTTACAGAGAAATCTGCTCCAAGCTCCAGTTTATTTGTCCACTTCTTAATATTAAGGAATTTCCTAAGTTAGCACTTGCTAAAGTGGGAATTTATACCTCAAAGAGAAAAAGATGGCATCCTGTAGAAAGAGTAGTCCCTTTTGCTTCCAGAATCTTCCTCATAAACTGGTTCTTCCCTCTTGAACAGAAGTTGGGATGTATTCATTATACTGACACATAATATGGTTTGTTTTAGCTTAGAATGAATGTGAAGGAGGGAGGTGGCTGCAAAATTGTGTAATATATGTCTGGTGACTGATTCCTCATGGCACTTCTTAGTACCAGTAATGCATTTTAACTAGTAGAAATGGGAGAGTGGAAGGGTCAATTGCAGTTGTGAACATAAAAACTTAACTATATTCAAAACGGGTCATTGCTCAGTCTTGATACACCGAAGATCTAATTCATCACCACCCAGTTTGAGGATTCAAAACTATCCACTCTCAAGTATGAGTAGAAACCACTTTCAACTTTTAATCTTAGACTTATTTCTCAAGCTTAGGTTCCTAGAATTTCTATCAACATAAACCTCTGCCTATGTTGTCAAAATTAGACATAAGCTGAAAATCTGGACATTACTCTTTTTTAAGACAACCTAAATATTAAAATTCGCAGAGTTTAGCTCCATTGACCTTTGTATTATATGCCAGTGAATTGGATTTAAGGGAACTATTTTTTCCATTATTTCTATTAAAGATGACAGATACAATTATGTCCAGAAAATAGCATGTGTTTTTTTTAAAGTGTTGCTACGAAAGTGAGAAATGTGCTGCGTTTATACTGTTAACTCTTCCATATATTTACCTAAGCTATTTGTACAGTGATACTAAGCTACAACAATCTTGAGTTAGATCTCCAGAAATTTGCTTCCCATTTCGTTCTAATTATTTCACCTCACCCAGAAAACTAGACCAGAAATAGGATCCTTAAAGCAGACTAATGGAAGATCAAGTTTCTGGTCTGGTTTCACAAGTTGTAAGAATTTTGGATCCAGCATATCTACAATCAGTGCATGGTATGGAGTAAGATGTAGGTTGTGTTATTGCAGACAACCCAAAGTAAGGCACAACCACTAGTTAGATATTTGAACCCTATCTCTGAATTCTCAAGTTTCTCAGTGATATCAAAATGCTGGAAAGGGACTACTCGCCATGGCCAACTTGCCACAGGACAATTCATCACAGGATAATTCAAGAGAGAGACAAGTAGAATCGCAGTTTACCCAGCCTTGAGGACTTGTAACTTGAGAAAGGTTCAAACGTAAAGCTTTTCAGTTTCGACTTTGAAAAAATCTGAGTGAAAACACAGCACGTAGTTACAAAAGCTTTTTTGGAGTGTAAGTAAAATGGGCCTGGGTATTTTATGCAAAGAGTACTACTTTAACAACAAAAACCAAAAATCAAAACTGCACAACACTGGGTATGTAGCAAATTATAACATCTGAAACAAATGTAGAATCATTTAATCATAAAATCACATAGTTGTTCTCTTAAAGACCCAATAAGCTCACTTTATTTAAAAAAACCTTATTTCTAAAAAATAAAGACATTATACAAGAGTTAACCAAATATTTAACCTCTACTGTATCTGATTGCAAGTGTTATTCCTCACTTATAAAACAAAAGCAATACAATAGCAAAACTGAACATTTCTATACATTTTAGCAAAGAAAATTCAGATTGCATGTCCGCATAACCCCATATTCCTTTTATTTTTTGAAGCAGTTAATGTGATCAAGAAGGTTTATTTTCTTCAAATGCTGTCAGATTCTTAGTCCAGCACATTGCAACAAAAGAGACACAGAAGTGGATCTCTACAGGTTTCCCCACCAAACGCATCATGCAAAGAAAACAATTTATGGGCTATACTTAGGTGATAAAGTTCCAAAATATATTTTAAAATACACATGCTTCTCCGTTACAAATTAAATATGAGACTGAGCCTTCAGAATATTTTACACATTCCACTCACTGTAATGGCTAAAAAAGTGATATCAATGGTCTCTCAATCGTGGAAATTAACGTTATTCCAAAGCCATAGCTAATTTCAATATCCAAGTGCCTATCATTATATACAGCAGCAAGCAATCTTCCAAAGGTGAGAATAATCAAGATGGTTATGTAATCAAAGAACTAAAATTACCAAATCTTCATATACCAGGTGTCCATAATTGGGGGTGACATTTGGCCCAGAAACACTGATGTTTCTAAAAAAACCCAAAACAACCAGTTCTTTAGGAAAAGTTTTATTTTGGTGGGTCTGTGTTTATTCCATATTTCTCCTTCAGAAGCTTGAGCTGTTCTTCTTTCTTCTTTGTATCCATTTTTTGGAATGCCTGTCACAGGACAAAAATAAATATTAAAAGCAATAAATGTAAAAAGTATTTAAGCCAATTTCACTTTGGGAATAATCTTGTGCAATTCAGGTTACTTACCATCAAAATGGTTTGTGATTTAACTATACAATTCATACATCAACTTCTTGAAAACAAGCGAAATTGAGGGTAAGGTATGGTATGCTACAATAACATGCTGGCCTTAAGTTATCTTGCTCAAGCTGCCCCTCCCCCATTATGCCAGTACTGCTAGAAGAGAGAGAAAGAGAGAGAGGGAGGGAGGGAAGGAGAGAGAGAGAAGGGAGAGGGAGGGAGGGAGGGAGAGCGGAGAGAGAGGGGGGAGAGAGAGCGGAGAGAGAGGGGAGAGAGAGAGAGAGACCTATATGTCTATTTATAGGTTTGTGAAATGCTTGTGATAAATGGAAGTTTGAGACCACCCATACACCACAAACAATTAAGCTAGATAGAGTAAACAAGCTGGTAGGTGGTTTCTTTAAGGTGTTCAATTTTTGTAAACATCTCTGGAGGGCTACATCCAAAACTGCTGATAGACTAAACATGACTTTGGGGAATAGTCAATAAAAAGGAAAATCTACACTAAGATTCAGTTTTACTCCTCTACACAAAGTCGCCCTGTAATCTTTGTTCTTTTAAAAGTGACTTGTACATAACGCTTGTCTCAGTTTCTCTTTTAATACAATGCAATCACAGAGTTTCTATACATTTTTAAACTTTGAGATATGTCAATGGTTAATTATATCAGGAGCAAATATTAAAACCCTAGACTGGGAAATTAAAATGGTATGGTCAACTATTATTCATAAACAGTAGAAAAGACACTGAAAAGCAATAGCTGTTCTGTATTCTTAGTAACTGAAGAATAAATCCTGTATGCAAAGGACTATCTAGTCAGCAAACAAAAATGTTTTTATCCTTTAAGTACTAGTCTAATAACTATACCAAATGAATGATCTAGTAAAAGAAGGAGAAAGTATTTGTTCCTTTTCTCTATTTAGTATAAAACTAAGTTTCTACAGTAGGAAATCCTTCTCTGACTAGAAATCTCCAATTATCAGCCTCCCCACTTGGCAAGTCAGCAAATTCTATGGTTATGTTTTACAAAAAATATCCTTAACATTCACCAAAATATTAAGAAATATATTTTAAGACTGATTGAGGCTATTATACCATGCTACAAGCACTCTGCAGATTTTAGCAATGAAGTATCAAATCTGAAAAAAATAAACTGAGAAGGCTAATGACTAAATACATTGGTTTTTATTCCCAATGCTACTTCCATATCCAGGATTTACAGGTGAAACTCGAAAAACTAGAATATCGTGCAAAAGTTCATTTATTTCAGGAACACAACTTAAAAGGTGAAACTAATATATGAGATAGACTCATTACATGCAAAGAAAGATAGTTCAAGCTGTGATTTGTCATAATTGAGATGATTATGGCTTACAGCTCATGAAAACCCCAAATCCACAATCTCAAAAAATTAGAATATTACATGCAACCAATAAAACAAGGATTATACATAGAACAATATTGGACCTCTGAAACGTATAAGCATGCAGATGTACTCAGCACTTGGTTTGGGCCCCTTTTGCAGCAATTACTGCCTCAGTGCGGCGTGGCATGGAAGCTATCAGCCTGTGGCACTGCTGAGGTGTTATGGAAGACCAGGATGCTTCAATAGCGGCCTTCAGCTCTTCTGCATTGTTCGGTCTCATGTCTCTCATCTTTCTCTTGGCAATGCCCCATAGATTCTCTATGGGGTTCAGCTCAGGCAAGTTTGCTGGCCAGTCAAGCACAGTAATCCTACGGGCATTGAACCAGGTTTTGGTGCTTTTGGCAGTGTGGGCAGATGCCAAGTCCTGCTGGAAAATGAAGTCAGGATCCCCATAAAGCTCGTCTGCGGAAGGAAGCATGAAGTGCTCCAAAATCTCCTGGCAGACGGCTGCGTTGACCCTGGACTTAAGAAGCACAGTGGACCAACACCAGTAGATGACATGACTCCCCAAATCAACACAGACTGTGGAAACTTCACACTGGACTTCAAGCATCTTGCAGTGTGTGCCTCTCCATTCTTCCTCCAGACTCTGGGTCCTTGGTTTCCAAATGAGATGCAAAAGTTGCTCTCATCAGAAAAGAGGACTTTGGACCACTGAGCAACAGACCAGTTCTATTTTTCTTTAGCCCAGGTAAGACGCTTCTGACATTGTTTGTTGTTCAGGAGAGGCTTAACAAGAGGAATACAACATTTGAAGCCCATGTCCAGGATCCATCCGTGTGTGGTGGCTCTTGATGCACTGACTCCAGCCTCAGTCCACTCCTTGTGAAAGTCCCCAACACTTTTGAATGGCCTTTTCCTGACAATCCTCTCCAGGCTGCGGTCATCCCTGCTGTTTGTGCACCTTTTTCTTCCACACTTTTCCCTTCTACATAACTTTCTATTAATGTGCTTTGATTCAGCACTTTGAGAACACCCAACTTCGTTTGCAATTACCTTTTGAGGCTTTCCCTCCTTATGGAGGGTGTCAATGGTAGTTTTCTGCACATCTGTCACGTCAGCAGTCTTTCCCATGATTGTGATTCCTACTGAGCCAGACTGAGAGACCATTTGAAGGCTCAGGAACCCTTTGCAGGTGTTATGGCTTCATTAGCTGATTAGAGTGGGACACTTTGAGCCTAGAATATTGAACCTTTTCACAATATTCTAATTTTCTGAGATTGTGAATTTGAGGTTTTCATGAGCTGTAAGCCATAATCATCACAATTGTGACAAATCATGCCTTGAACTCTCTTGCTTTGCATGTAATGATTCTATCTCATATATTAGTTTCACCTTTTAAGTTGCATTACTGAAATAAATGAACTTTTGCACAATATTCTAATTTTTTGAGTTTTACCTGTATAACCCATAATTAAAAATAATCAAAACACAGTAGGAAAGCAATAATACATATATACCGTATATGGATCTTTATGCAAGAGGTTGATTTTTCATTTTTTTAAATAGATGGATTTCTTTCGGAAAACTATGTGTTGAACTTTTTTTCTTTATGCGTTGCAGAATATACGAAAACGTACAAAGCACCATCTCACTTCTCTAACCAGATCCTTTAGTTTACTACAGCTAAAATCTCCCTGGTTAGACTATCCGAAAATATCCCCATAATATTCTCATCAAAAGAGAAAAACACAGCAAAATTAAAGAACTGATATGCTTTAAAGAATATACTTGCCCTGTTTGCATTGTAGTACAAAACGACAAGGTATCTGTTGCACACATTGAATCCTGACAGATGATCACAAGCATTTTTGGCATCAAAGATATCTTCATAGACTACATAGGCTGTTCCCCTCGTCTCAGGAGTATTTCCTCTGTTAGGATGACAAGTTTCATGTCAGCAAACCAGTATTTTGAATCTTTGAGATGACATTTGTCACCAATACAATTTTTCCTGACACTTGACCTAATTCTTAAAATCAGTTAACAACACAATATCTGAATTTACTTGTGTATCAGCCAGGAATAGACAGGCACTAGCCTTCATACAGTACCCTATCTGCAAACGTCAGATTCTGTCACCCCAACTCCCAAATTAACAGAACTAACATTTTCAGAACTTTTCCTACTGACCTAGAGGTATTACGGGTTGAAAGAAATAGCTTAATATTTTAGCATCCCTCTGACCTAGTAAACCACTCCCTTAACAGGGAAAAAAATCCTAGATTGAGGCAGTATACAAATGGAATAAAACTGAAATTATCCATTCTGGTCACTTCACAATGTTATTAGCCATGTCTCTGCAGCCCGAGGCAAGACACAAGCTAAAATTTAATCCTAAAACTGAGCAGATTGCTCATCTCTGATTTAAATGCATTTCATTACGCATTCAACTGTGCTACACAATAAATCACAGACACATAATTTCCATCATCTTTTATCACACCGGCTATAATGTAATTTGTTTGCTTTGGCTTAGGGCAGAGATGGCTAACCTTTTTGTCATTGCGTGCCAAAAGTGCATGCGTGCCTGCACCCATAATGCAACGAATGCGTGACACCCACCTACGCATGTGTGCATGACCCCCCTGCACATCCCACCCACTTGTGCATGCACGTGCATCTCCCACACGCGCATCTCTCCCTGCGCATGCACGGAAGATACCCAATCAGCTGCCTGGCGGGGGGGCACGCACACATGCACAGTGGATCTGTTCCGGGCAACGGCTCGCGTGCTGGCAGAAATGGCTCTGCATTCCACTTCCGGCACACGTGCCATAGGTTTGCCATCATGGGCTTAGGGTGATTGAGATTAGTTACAGAGCCAGGGAAAGTGTCTAACATATCAAAAGTGTTCTAAGCAGCTAGGCCAGGTTGAGGAAGTTTCTTGCACTCTGACACTATTATAGAAACCATTTTATTAAACTGTGATCACGATTTGTTTACCAACTAAAAAACTGCTTTGTGTAACTACATAAAGTCTCATTTGAAGTTCAGTTTATTCAAATACACAACAGACTTACACTCTGATTTGTCGAATAGGTCCATATTTTCCAAAAATGTCATACATTTCTTCAGCTGTGATTTTATATGGTAAATTTCTGATATACAAAATTCGGTTCACTTCAGGTGGCAGACGGATCTAGATATAACAAGCATAACTTTTAGCAACATAAACATACATATAAACATGTGGTTGTTTTCACTACATTAACTTTCAGAGTTCCCAGAATCTGTCTTTTAAAAGATAGAAACAGGCAACTTTGATGACCTATTACTGATTTAAAAGCTTTGCTGTTCTCTCCCCTCCTGTTTAATATATACACTGCTCAAAAAAATAAAGGGAACACTTAAACAACACAATGTAACTCCAAGTCAATCACACTTCTGTGAAATCAAACTGTTCACTTAGGTAGCAACACTGATTGACAATCAATTTCACATGCTGTTGTGCAAATGAAATAGAGAACAGGTGGAAAGCATAGGCAGGTAGCAAGACGTCCCCAATAAAGGAGTGGTTCTGCAGGTGGTGACCACAGACCACTTCTCAGTTCCTATGCTTTCTGGCTGATGGTTTGGTCACTTTTGAATGCTGGCGGTGCTGTCACTCTAGTAGTAACATGAGACGGAGTCTACAACCCACACAAGTGGCTCAGGCAGTGCAGCTCATCCAGGATGGCACACCAATGTGAGCTGTGGCAAAGTTTGCTGTCTGTCAGCGTAGTGTCCAGAGCATGGAGGCGCTACCAGGAGACATGCCAGTCCATCAGGAGATGTGGAGGAGGCCGTGGGAGGGCAACAACCCAGCATCAGGACCACTACCTCTGCCTTTGTGCAAGGAGGGACAGGAGGAGCACTGCCAGAGCCCTGCAAAATGACCTCCAGCGGGCCACAAATGTGCATGTGGCTGCTCAAACGGTCAGAAACAGACTCCATGAGGGTGGTATGAGAGCCCGACATCCACAGGTGGGGGTTGTGCTTGCAGCCCAACACCTTGCAGGATGTTTGGCATTTGCCAGAGAACACCAAGATTGGCAAATTCACCACTGGAGCCCAGTGCTCTTCACAGATGAAAGCAGGTTCACACTGAGCACATGTGAGAGACGTGACAGGGTCTGGAGACGCTGTGGAGAATGTTCTGCTGCCTGCAACATCCTCCAGCATGACCGGTTTGGCGGGTCAGTAATGGTGTGGGGTGGCATTTCTTTAGGGGGCCGCACAGCCCTCCATGTGCTCGCCAGAGGTAGCCTGACTGCCATTAGGTACCGAGATCCTCAGACTCCTTGTGAGACCATATGCTGATGCGGTTGGCCCTGGGTTCGTCCTAATGTATGACAATGCTAAACCTCATGTGGCTGGAGTGTGTCAGCAGTTCCTGCAAGACGAAGGCATTGATGCTATGGACTGGCCCATCCGTTCCCCAGGCCTGAATCCAGTTGAGCACATCTGGGACATCATGTCTCGCTCCATCCACCAACGCAACATTGCACCACAGACCGTCCAGGAGTTGGGGGATGCTTTAGTCCAGGTGTGGGAGGTGATCCCTCAGGAGACCATTCACCACCTCATCAGGAGCATCCCCAGACATTGTAGGGAGGTCATACAGGCACGTGGAGGCCACACACACTACTGAGCCTCATTTTGACTTGTTTTAAGGACATTACATCAAAGTTGGATCAGCCCGTAGTGTTTTTTTCCACTTTAATTCTGAGTGTAACTCTAAATCCAGACCTCCATGGGTTGCTAAATTGGATTTCCATTGATCATTTTTGTGTGATTTTGTTGTCAGCACATTCAACTATGTAATGAACAAAGTATTTAATAAGAATATTTCATTCATTCAGATCTAGGATGTCTTATTTTTGTGTTCCCTTTATTTTTTTGAGCAGTGTACATAAAGCATTTGATGAGATCTTCTGCAGGTTTTGGAGTTCAGTATTACAAATGGGTTATGATGCCCAATTATAGCTCTCAACCCTAAACATGAGATGATATAACCCAGAGATGTAAATGTCAAATAGTGATACTATTGAAATCCTTTACTGGTGCCTGGAGATTGTGTGTAGTGCACCAATTGGGAGTCCTCTAAGAGTCACAACTGCTGTTTGAAGAGTTGCACCCATTCCTCTGACATGTCCAAGTCACTTCATAGCAAAATTATTACAATGCTGTATATCTTGAGTCTGCCCTTCAAAAGCTTGAACTGGTCCAGGATGCAATGATGCTGGCAATGATGGGCAAGCCTCAATGGAACCCCATGACACCTCTGTTTTGCGAACTGCATTGTTTATCACCGATACCAGGTGCTATTCAAAGTGCTGCTTATCATCTATGTTACCCTGCAGGGCACAAAGCCAGATTACTTCAGGGACCACCTATCTCCCATGGTTTTCACCCAGCTAGTACACAGCCAGCTGAGTTGACGCACTCTGGATCCCTTCAATTAAAACAGTGCATCTATTGGTATCCAAGAAGTGTGCTGCTCTATTATGGTGCCTTCTGTTCCCAACCTCTGAAAGTCTGAAGAGATATGGCTGTTCTTCTAGGCCTTGAGCTATGCTGGACAGAGCCCTTTTATTGGATGTTTACATCTATGATTTTTTTTTAAATAAAGCACCAGATCCTGCTTTGTTTTGCACTATGTTTTTAACTGTTTCTTACCTTGTAAACTGTCAAAACTCAAGAGCATCTATATTGAATTAAATAAACCACTGGAATAACCGGGGGTGGGATTCGACTTTGTGATAGTGAATAGGATGATGGTGTGGCAATGGAACTGCACCCAAATTTTGCCCCAATACCCATAATGTATTCCAATGCCAGTTAATTCTTGATATTCTGCTACCCACAATAACCGGTTCTAAGCGTCAATAACTGAACTACAAATGTGGCTGCCAAACAGTGTATTACATGGAACTCAGGGTGCTTATAACACTATATTACATTCACCTGAGTTCAGCTGATGGCAAGCTGTACAACCAAAGCTGAGGAGAACCACAAACTTCTCTATTCCCACCCCATCCCAAAAAAGCATAACTAACTTTAATTCTGTGTTTACGATGTTACTGGTTGCTGCCTTATTCAGCAGTGGGGGTGGGGCAGACGTCAGTTCCCATATTCCCCTATTCAACGCCGGCCATAAGGGCAGGACAGTTGGGGGTGCCAACTTATGGGGCACATGTCAGGCATTAGGGCCATTCAGCCCACAAATCCCCTCCAAAAAAGCTTTTTTCCAAAGGCAAGAAGTCTCTAACCTTGGCAACTTTAAGACTAGTGGACTTCAACTCCCAGAATTCCTCAGCCAGCAAAGCTGGCTGAGGAATTCTGGGAGTTGAAGTCCACTAGTCTTAAAGTTGCTAAGGTTGAGCGCCTCTGCGAGTCAAAAGGGGAAGCTCTCGAGAAGGCCGGGACTACAATTCCCATCACACACAAGACAAGTTTGGAAGACGGGCCTATGAGCCCAGACGGGCGGGTACGAAATCGGGAAAGCTGCCGGCTTCCCGTTCACGTTTTTCCTGGTTTTCCCAAACGACAAAAGGCAAACAGAGGGACGGCAAGTGAAGGGGGAGAAGAAGCAGGAAAAAAAAGGGGGGGGAGCGTTCAAAATGCCCACCCTGCCCGACTCACATTCGCACGTTTCGCCGCTTGCATCGCCATGGCAACGGTCCTCTGATACTTCGGGTTCACCCGCAAAAAAAGGAAACCTCCGTAGACGCCGAAACCGCCGAACGCAGAGAAGGTACGCCGAAGCCCACTGCGCGGCTCGTCCTACGCTTCACCCGGAAGAAGATCCGACTTCCGGCCGTCGTTACTGTCTTCCTCCGCGCCCCCCTCCTCAAATGGCTACCTTTGCATCTACACTACCACGATTTCCGGTTCCGATTAAACACTTACTCTAGGCAGTGTTAGAGTGGGAGGGGTTTCCTGCGACTAAAGGCCAAAATCGATGTCCCTATATTCTTAAACTGCGATATTTGCAGAGAATATATTTTTTTTGTAGATGACTTGGAAAGAATCATGCTTTATCCGCCACCAGCATTCATTCCCCAAATTGAAGCAGAATTGGGAATGGATGCGTTCGTTATTTACCTGGCTTTGTGATACGTAAAAAAAGAAGTACAGTATATTGGACTTTTGCTGCCCAAAAAGAAAAACGGAGCCATTTCTTCGCTTACCTGGATCAAATGTACCAGAATATAATGAAACAAACGGGAATGGTTTCAAAGAAAGGCTGCAGGGATGATCAGCAGATTAGAAATCAAGTCCTGTGAAGAAATGTTACATGGATGCTCTTTAAATAACGTGAAAAGTTGTCTTAAAGAAGAAAGTCAAGGCCTGTTCTCCAATGTTCCAGAGTGCAAGGCCAAGAATAACGGGTTTATTTTGTGGGAAAGCAGATTCTAATTGATATTGGGAGTGGCTTTTTAAAATTGTTTATTCTTTTATAATAATGACAGAGAAAAGGGGAGGAGAACCCCACAAAGATGCATGCACTGTCAAAGAAAAGGGGAAAGCACTTTTTTTAAAAAAATGAAAAAATGCAACAAAAGAAAAGGTACAATGTATCATTAAATAATATTTTATATACAATCCAAGTGTGTGCATATATAATTATATATGTGTGTTTATATAATTATATTTTATTAACCTACTGTATTTTGTATAAATAACTGCAGTCCCATATTTCATTATATTTGCCCATGTGAAGTCTGGGTCTACAGGTAATCTGCTCATAGGTGGCAAGTACAATGAGGTCTTCATTGAATGAAAGGAGCCATGCATCTTCCTAATACTGCAATATCAGTTTTTTGGCCATAGTAGAGGCATAGATAATCCATTTCCTTTGTTCAGTTGTCAATTTCCATGTAATAGGTATGTAGTTAAAAAAAAAATCATCTGAAAATTTTGCTGGTGTGCATAATTACATAATCTAGTACTTTCTCCCAAAACTTGATAAGTAGTAAGACAAAACCAAGAGTTTTAAAGAAACATAATTAGCACATTAAGTATGATCTTTACCTGCTTTTACTATAATTGTGATATAAGCCTGGTTAAATGCTGGTGATAAAATTCCCTTATCAAACATCTCTTCATATACTTGACAAATTCTTTGCCCCAAATGTTTTATACTACCGTACTGAAAGGGAATCTATTTAGTCCTGATGTTTTACCAGATATTGGAAGAGGTTACAGTAATAGCAGTTCTATGTATGTATATATGCATGCATGCATGCATGCATGCATGTATGTATGTATGTGCATCATGTATATACACATGTACATGATAAGTTTCAAAGTTGGTCCATCCAAATCCTTGCTTTTGATAGCAGCATGCAACAATAAGGGGAAATTTGCACAGTCTCATGATTTCTTCCTTGAAAGGCAATAGTTAGGAGCTGAAGTCCTATAATTTAGCCATGAGATGGCACAGAATTGTCCCTCAGGTGTTTGCAAAAGGCAAGTGGACTTTCTTGGTTTTTTTCCTTGAAAACGTTTAGCTTCTCAAGCTAGAAGCTTCTTCAGGTCAGGACTGAAGCTTTTGTTACAGCTTTTGAGTATGACATACCTCTTCACCTAAACTAATCATCATGCAGGGATGCCTACTTTGGGCTGATCTGTCAACATCTAAAAAAACTACTGTAGATGTATTCTTCATTTATTTTTACTGATCTGTAAAATTCATGGCTGAAGATAAGAATAAAATGTTTCATATAAATAATCTGTGTGTGATCTGAAGAAATATACTTTTAGATCTTATGGGCCATCATATTTATGATCCAAAGACATTATGCATTATGGCTCCAAAGCACCAGGATTTTTTGGTTATGCATTGTAAAACATGGTTGCCCAATAATCTGCTTTCACTTAATCCAGTTCCCAGAACTCTCTCCACTGTTACTTTTCCTGGCAAAAGATGGCAGCAAAGAACTATAAGATAAACCTTTTCTGCTATTTTTTTCCCTTCATTCTCTAAAAACAGCCATGGCCCATGTAAAACGATAGAAAGCAATCCGGATGTCACAATGCTTTTCAAACTTGACAATTTACAAATGTGTGGACTATGTGAGAAATTTGTTCAATGTGTTTTGCCCCATTTTATATCTTGTCATAGTTGTTAAGTGAACCACTGCAGTTGTTAAATGAGTAACACTGTTGTTAAGTGAATCTTGCTTCTCCATTGACTTTTGCTTGTCAGAAGGTCGCAAAAGGGGATCATGTGACCCTGGGATGCTGCAATGGTCGTAAGTATGAAACAGTTGCCAAGCATCTGAATTTTGATCAGGGGATGCTGCAATGGTCGAAAGTGTGAAAAACAGTCATAAGTCATTTTTTTCAGTGCCATTACAGCTGTAAGTCGGGGATTACCTGTATTTTTACAGATGTTTTGAATCACGCCTATGATTATTTTTAGAGTAGAATAGAATTCTTTATTGGCCAAGTGTGATTGGACACACAAGGAATGTGCTCAGTGTACATAAAAGAAAAGATACATTCATCAAGAATGGTAAGGTACAACACTTAATGATAATCATAGGGTACAATAAGCAATCAAATCATACTAGGAAACCATCAATATAGATTGTAAGGATATAAGCAACAAAGTTACAGTCATACAGTTACAAGTGGGAGGGGATGGGTGATAAGGAGTGATGAGAAGATTAACAGTAATAGTAGTGTAGACTTTGTAATAGTTGAACAGTGTTGAGGGAATTATTTGTTTAGCAGAGTGGTGGCTTTCAGGGAAAAAAAACTGTTCTTGCGTCAAGTTGTTCCGGGGTGCAGTGCTCTATAGCGTCGTTTTGAGGGAAGAAGTTGAAACAGTTTATGTCTGGGATGTGAGGGGTCTTAAATATTTTCACAGCCCTCTTTTTGACTCATGCAGTATACAGGTCCTCAAATGAAGGCAGGTGGGTAGTAATTATTTTTTCTGCACTCCTAATTCTCCTCTGAAGTCTGTGTCTGTCCTGTTGGGTTGCAGAACCAAACCAGACAGTTATAGAGATGATGGACTCAATAACTCCTCTGTAGAACTTTATCAGCAGCTCCTTGGGAAGTTTCAGCTTTCTGAGTTGGCACAGAAAGAACATTCTTTTTCACTTTCCTCTTTTTCGTCCGTTTTGCATCCAGGGTCCCCGCCAAAAAATACAACTATCCCGATATAGTTGAGACGGTAACAAGAGTTCAGGGTAGTTTCACCGTCTCCGCAGAGCATCCGCTGCTTCTAACTCTCGGCTTAGCTGCCTGCGGCTGGTTTTTGGGAGCCGCAGTGAGGATATTTTTCAAACTTGACTCGCAAGTCAAGCGGCACCCGCCGCTCTTCCCTTTTAATACGTCTGTGGTTAGTTAAGCCAAGACCTGCCACTTCTTTAGCAGAAGCGAGATGCCGAGCGGGAAGGGGAAACCGCTGGCGGCTCGGCCAGAAAAACGCGGCGGCGGCAACAGTAGTCGCCAATGGGTGGTGGTTCTCCCAGGTAACGTTGACCCAGAGCCAGCCGATCCTGGAGTGTTGAAAGAAGCGGCTCCCTTCCGTGCACGTGCACGGGGGCGGAGGGTTAATTGCGGGCTGCATTCAAGCGATTGAGCTTGTTGATATTGCCTGGAAGCAGCCCCCGATGGGTGGTTGTGTGAATGGGCTTCCCCGTTTGCGATCTCACCCTTCTTACGATGTTAGAGATACGGACCGGTGCTATTATTCCTGCTCTCCCGAAGATGTCGGCTGGTCCAAAGTAAAATGAACCAGGCTTCAGAATCCCAATTCCCAGAAGGGCAGGACAAGAAACAATGGATGGAAACTAATCAAGAGGAGAAGCAACCTGGAATTGAGGAGACACTTGCTAACAGTGAGGACTTTTAACCAGGGGAACAGCTTTGCCTTCAGATATTGTGGGCGTTTTCATCTTCAGTACAGCTTTTTCAGAAGAGACTGGACTGTCAGTTGTCTGAAATGGGATAGGATATCCTGCTTGAGAAGGGGGTTGGACTAGAAGACCTCCAAGGTCCCTTCCAACTCTATTCTGATTCTGACTTGATGGGTTAGTTTGTATAGGGCATTTTGGCTAAAATCCAGGGGAGATTTGTTATTGTCCCCTCATGGTACGGTAGGTTTTTGTTTTGATTGCCCAATAGATGCTGTGGTCTCCCATCCAGGCCTGTCATTGCTTAGTTTAGAATAGCGTTTCTCAAACTTGCTAACTTTTAAGATGTTTGGACTTCAAATCCCAGAGTCTGGTGGGGAATTGCTTCATCCAATTGTTTGGTGAGGTTTTACCTACTGTCTTACGACAACGTGGTTCCTAGGTGTAAAGTAGCAGGTGATTGGTGCCTTCTCCCCTTGATTCATCTGTTCCATGCTTTTTAGACAAGCATAGATCAAAGAAGCTTGATCAGCCACTTAGCACAATTTCCCCCCAAGTTTATGTTCTAGCCAAGGTAAACCAGGCACTGCATCCATCTGGTCTCATTGGGCTTTCAGCATCAGTCTAGACCAGGGGTGTCAAACTCACATTTTTACGCGATGTATCGGGACTTTTCTCCCCTTTGCTAAACCGGGTGGGGGCAAGGCCAGCATGTGACACATCTGGCCTAGCGGCCGCGAGTTTCACACCCCTGGTCTAGACCACATTTGGCATCTTTAAGGCAAGTAGACTTCAATTCCCAGTACATGGTGGGCTGCGTATTTCTGAGAGTTATAAAGTTCACATATCTTAAAGTTGCCAAATTTGAAAAACACTGGTTTAAGAAACAAAGAAAAAAGGAACCTGGTAGAAGACAGTCATGCTCCAAATATTGCATTTCTTCTATTTTTAACCTGAATTTT